AACTATGGTTTCGTGGGTCATCTGCAATCTTAAGCGAAACAGAGCAGCAGGATATGATGGAGTGATTCCAAAGGTGACAAACTGTCTGGGCCTAACTAAGGTTATGTTTGAGAATCAGATATGATTCTGCCAGATTAATGAAAATCATAGTATATCCTAGTTTATAAGAAGGGAGACAAGTCTGCCTGTGATAGCCATCAGGGAATTAGCTTGGCTAATATAGTATCTTAAGTGCTACGTTCACTCCTCAGTAGATTCCAGAACCTGTAATCCCATTATGGGTAAATTTTGTTTTGATAAAGTCTCACAGTGTAATACAGTAAGTAATGTTTACAGATCAGTAAGCATTCGTCCACAGATTCCCAACATAGTGTTGGAAATTACAATAAAGTGGCCAACTTCTATTGATCTAACGACCTTTTTGCAATGGTGAGGCTTGTAGAATCATTATTTTCTGCCAGTGTTGTAGCTCGTTGGTTCATTGGGATATGCAGGCCCAACCATTATGTCAAGGTAGCAGTTATCAGTCGGGATTAAGTCTCCAAAGAACCGTTAATTTCGATTTCGAAAGTTGTTTGATTAATTTGATATGATTGATTATGAGTCATAATTTGTGCTTGAAACATCACCCAGTGAACATTGTTTCAATGAAATCAAATAGCTCATATGAGATTGTGCTATGCCTGAATGTAGATGTACACTACTGTTATATCGTGTTACATTTTCATGCAGCAGTTTGACACATTTACAATTTAATGGTGACTTATCTAGTGAGATTCTATTCCAAAGACTTTCAAGGAGTGTACGAAGAACATTTTACTCAGCACACCTGTGTTTGTCATTCTCTAGCCGACGAATGATTGGGACGCAAACGAGGGATTAGCTTGGTAGTTTTGCCACTTCTATGTGTGTTTATCAATTAAACTGCACCTGCGATGACAGTTATGTTGGTCACACTACTAGACAGCTTAGCTAACGTGTTAGTGAACATCTCCCATCGTGGTGGTTTGGCAAAAGGACAGACAAAAACAATCCGTAGCTCAGTTTTGTCACACTCAGTTGATAGTGGTCAAAAAAAAAAAATTTTTCCTTCACGTTCCCAGTGGAACATAGGGCTACAAGCTAGAGGCTTGAAGTTTCTATAGCAGTGTTTAGTTTTTACAGGATGGGGTTGCTAGCCCCATGCCCAACCTTTCCTCTTTACCAGGATTATTTCTGGTTTAGCGAGGTAAAGGAGTGCGTCGGCCGGGATCGAACCCCGGACCATGTACATGGTCGGCGAGCGTCCTAACCGCTGTGCCACCGACGCACATGTAGTGGAGAAAACGAGAGCTTTCAAAGCATTTCATGTTATCCCACAGAATCTTCTCAGTAGACTTCTTATTCGTCTACTGCTTACAGCTGAGGCGATAAGCATTCGAACTAATAGGCCTGAACAATGCATTCAAAAAAAGTTCGTACAGCTATTATCCCTCCCTTGGCCTATTAAGACATAACCAACTAAAGACTTCTACATCACCCCTTGTTTATATTTTCAACCCCTTTCTTATCATCCCTTAATCTTATCTTCATTATAAACGTGTTCCATTCCCTTCCCTTACAATCTCACATTACTTAATCGGTTCATTTGTTTTTACTAGCCTTTATCGACTACTTCCACCTGAACAATTGTTTGTTTAATCATACTGTTTTTCATTATTCGTGTTATCACAGATTGCCTCACTTTTTCATCCTTATGATTCATAAAACTATTATTATTATTATGATTAATCGCACAATTTATAGTCACCATCTTATTATCCTATAGACAAAACACCATGATTGGTTTATATTTGAATATTTATTGGTAAATTTATGTATATTAGAGTTAAGCCTGATGAGATCTCATTGAAACCACAATATTGTTCGCTTAAGTGTGTTGTTCTAAATTTTACTATGGGAATATTTAATACATTTTGTAATGTTTGCCGATTTTGTCCCACCTAAATAAGTCATAGTAAAATCTGATCATTAAAATCTGTAAAGATGTGGCTTCACGCTTTGTGTACAATAAGCAGACCTACTGAATTTAACATTACTTTGTTGTTTTTGTTTTGTGTTTCTCCCGACTGTAATATGCTAGCTAAACTTGAATCGCCATTTACTATCAATCAGCGAACGACTTCGAATAATCCAGTGATATTCACGCCCGTTAGTTAAATTATTTATAGCAATTGATTCAACCAAAACACGTACCATATCATGTTTCTGGATGGAAATCGCGGAGGATATTGTTTTCAATATAACCTGGATTAAGAAGGTCACATACTGGATTTGTGCATAATTACGTTTGAAGCGAGTAGCACTAGATGCGGTCGGCTGATAATTTTAATATTTCGTAGGAACTTCTTCTCATGGTCACACCTCTTCTTGACGCAAATTTTGTATATCTGCAACTACTGGGTCTTGAGACAGCCAGTGAGAGCTGCAGATGCTGGGACGGAGAATAGCCTATTCTCAACAATCCAATGATATAAGCATTGAAAAGATTTTGCTTCGTGGAAAATAGGGAAGATCACTTCTTTTTGGGTGGAGAAGACGTTGTTGTGCATGTCGTTGAGACTGTCTTGGTGAAAAAGAAATACAACCGTGGTCGGCAGCGAGCGAACTATATTTGGGTAATAGGTTTGTATGACACCTCCCTCCGAAAGGGATTCGTCGAAAGGATAGCAGACAGATAAGCAAATTTTTCATAGAGCCAACTATTCAAGGAATGTTGTCGATCCCGTTACGAGGACACGTAAAAATTCTATTGAAGGATTTTGGGGAAGGTTGAAAAATTGGAAAAGGGCTATAAATGAATCTCAAAAGGATCTCATTTATAGTCATTTGGATGAATATATGTACAGAACGTGGTGTAACTTTTCTCTTGACAGTCCGATGCCTATCTGGGAGATGTTTATCTATCCCAGGACTAGAAACATTATGGTTAAGGCGACTGCGACTAAATCTGTTACTCTTCTATAAGCTTCTTAACCAAATAGTGTATACCTCTGCTAACTATACTCGGCCCTCAGGTAACACAGGATACAACCTTAGGCACACTAAAGGTACAGTGGCTATAGAACCATGTAAAACAGCCACCAGGCAAAAGTTTTTCTTGATTAGGTATGCCCAAATATGGAACAAACTACCTGAGAAAATACGACTAGCAAGCACATTGGCCTCCTTTGAAAAGGCACTTAATGACACACTAAGTGAGTTTGTAATTGATACCAATGGTAATTCCCATGTAAGAGTTTCAGAAATCATAGGCCCATTTAATGTATGAACTCAGAGACTACACCTGTTGTTTGTTTTGTCTCTATTTATAATTCCAGACAAAAAAGCAGCAGTCATGACAATAACACCCATTCAACCAAGAGTCGTTCAAACTATGTCTACCTGATACAAAGGGCGAACCATAATCAACATACGAATGAAATATGAGAAAACAAGGTAGAAACTTACCGCAACACCACATGAAAAGATAAAAGTTACTTGGATATCATATATAATCCACCAACTGGTCTCCTACCCAAAAAGAATGCGGCGATGTTTTATCCAAAAAGGCGAGGAAATACATAAACCCACAGCAGCTGTTGTTAACACTCAGTGGGGGTAGGAGCCAACAAAGTAATCCTTTCAAAGCACATGTATACTTCAAATGGGCACGGAGACTTTGTAGAATACGTCATAATCCAAATCACTGCCTCTACAGCGCAAATAAACCTGGATATCTATGATATAACGAAGACATGCTGAAAGCTGCATCTCAGATCAAGTTGACTCATTCCATGGTAATGATCTCCTCCTGCGTGCCTTATTCGACATATTGAATGGAATGGTTCGCAGTTATTCTGGTACTAGATCGAAAAGAATAAAAAATTCACCGGTTGCTGAATCAAAAATTAATTCCAAACCATTTATCCCATAATCACTCAAATTCCAGGAACGATCCAATTCTACCATTTAAAGAAGCTGGCGGACACGATGTAAATGAGTATTCATGATCTGAAATAAAGAAGCAACTGGTTTTCAACATTTTACTCAACTTACGAGTACAGTCCACCATGCAGACACAAATGGCGCAAATGGGGAATTCTGGAATCGACCTCGGGACCATTTGATGCAGTAAAACAACCCGACATGACCTTATCTAATTTTCGCCTCCACGATCAAATTTCTTTCCTGTTATGAAACTACGATAAGACTGCTGAAAAATGTAATAAATATATCACTGATCTCAACATAATACATCAATAAACTTCAAGCCATGGTTGCTGTTCACAACAAAGTTATATAAGAGAATTGACTTCAAGCTTTATTTTTCCCAGATATCTGTATTACATTCATGTGATGTCTGGGTTTTTTGTTAATGCGAAGACAATATTTCTATATCTCTTTATGTGCTACACAAACAGACTTTATAGCAGACTGTTCCGACTGACTTTGATGTCAGAAAGAACAACCAAACTGTAAGTCCATTATACATCAAATTATGTGTAATTTATGTAATAACTTATCCATGCCTGTACAATAGGTATGTTCCTGCATAAACAGGAAGGAATATATTATTATTATTAAAACAATATTTATGCATGCCTATACAATTGGTGTACCCTACATAGCTAGGGAAAAAAATGTACTTTATTATATTATCTTTACTAAATATGCTTATTAATATTATGTGTAAATTATCGAATTGATGATGCCTGTAAACTGGCGTCCCTCATGTAAAAAATGAGAATATATATTATTATTATTATCTCACATGATAGGGAAAGATGGCCCCTGTAACCGTTTTTAAGATTTTTTTCTGCTTTTTTCTACATATATGCGTTTTCGTTTATCATATATGCCTATTTAATGTGATTGGTCCGTTCAAGGTCGTTTGTTGATCGAGTGTAAGTGGTGTCGAAATTTTAACTTTGCCCAATAGCGTTTGAAAATAGTGGCGGCTTTTTCGATTGGGAGTCGGGATGGGTTCTGTGAATGACCAGGTGACAGAGTGTCAGTCACAAGTGGTATCATTTTGGGATCTCATACGTGCTGAAATAGACGGCTTAAAAGGCGACCATGCAACATTTAAGACTCAGGATCTACCCTTGGCAAGAATAAAGAAAATAATGAAACTGGATGATGATATTAAGTCTATGATGATAAGTGCTGAAGTACCAATACTGTTTGCTAAGGCTGCGGAACTATTTATTCGAGAGTTAACCTTAAGGGGTTGGGTTCACACGGAACGCAATCGAAGACGCACACTTCAAAAGAGTGATATAGCCATGGCAGTCAGTGATGGAGATACAGATCAGTTTGATTTCCTTATTGATATTGTACCTCGTGAAGAAACTAGAGGGCATCGTCGACCTAACCAGGTGACCTCTTCCTCAAGTACCAATGGTAGTTCATTGAATGTTAAGCAAGAAAATTCTGAGAATAAGAACAATTTCTTCACAAATACAAATGGTACGCATTCATTGTCTCTAGAACATGGCTCAGGTCAAGTAGTTGTTTCGGGATTGTCGAGTGGTGCTACCGGAGCTTCATCACAACCCCAAACAGTGACTGTTGCTTTGGCATCTGGAGCAGTCGCCGGAGCAAATTCTGTTAATTCAGCAATCCCATGTCAAACAAACCAACCCACAGCTGTTCACTTTACAACTGTCTCTTCTGGTGCTGGTTTAGGTGGTGCTCAGTCTTCAGCCAATACCTCATCAACAGTAATAGCAGCTTCCGCTCCAAATGCTAGTACAGTCAATACTACGGCAGCTCCGTTGCAGTACGTTCTACAACTTCCAGTTGGTGGGGCTGGAGCATCAGCTGGACAGCCTTTTCAAATACAAGTCCTTCCTCAACATTTTCTGACGGCCAACACGGATGCTGTATCTGCTGGTCAAGCTGGTGCTATTCTCACTGATGGTAGCACGTTCCCCTTAGTTCAAGTTGTCTCTCAACCTAACATACTTCCAATCCTTCAAGAAGCCGGTGGAACGAGAGCTCAAATTTTGCAGATTCAGGTTCCGGAACCAACCGCTGGTGTAAGTAACACAAGTGGGTGTTAGTGTGTATGTTTCTGTGTGTTCGTGTTCGTGTGAATGTGTATGTGTTACAACTGCCAGATAAACTGTTGTAATTCATCATCATGTCCATCGCTTTCTTTTTCTTCGTGTAAACATTCACTGTACAGTTATTTTACATCAGCATGATTTTCCCAACTTATATATTGTCATCGTCTCCTCAGGTTGAGTTTTTACAATTAGCACGTATATCTGTATTAACCTCGGGGCTTTTATACTTGTTATTTTTGAAAATGCATGTGATGAGTATTGCTATTTTATTGAATTGTCGTCTTGTTGAGTTAGTTGGCTATAACATCTATCGTTGTATTTGTTTTTCTTGCGTTTATAATTCACTACTGTTGGTTGCTGGAGTTTTTACGCGACATCACTTAACACGCGGTTAATGTGGTTTCATGAATCTTTAGATCGAAATCCGCATCTCACCTTCGGAATATCCTAGATATATCAGCACATAGGAGAGGAATTTAGCAGTAAATGTACAGAAGAATCATAAGGGCAGGAGTATGTTATAACTAATTAGCATAAAGTGATATAATAGTTTCAAATGGAAACCTTCGTAAGTACGACCATCCGGCCACAGCTTGAGACCTTTTGTTTTGTGGCGAGTTGTCATTGAACTCTGTGCGCCATTTTCTACACTGCAGTGTGATAGCTCACGCGACAGTGGTACCATTTAGATGCCTTTGACTTAGTTTTCTACTTTGAAATATTCTGGAGTGCGACAGGAACACTGATACTTAGTGGGTTATAAAGGTTATGGGGAATGGATGCATTTTCGCCACTGAAGACAAATTTATTGTCATAACTTATAGTTGCCAGCCATAAGGACAATATTATCCTCTTACTCTAAATCGATGTCAGTGTTCTCGGGTAAAATGTGAGTCGCTAAGTCACCAATGTGGATTATCACATGTACTAAGAAAGCGAACGATAATGGGGATAATTGCGTTTCTGACAGACACGGCTTGCTTTCATGACCTCATGTTATGACTGTTTATAAGGTTTATCACGGCTGCATAATTTCGACTAGAGTGGTATATTTTCTGGGAACTCCCTTCATGGTCATATAATTCCAGAGCACCTCGGAATCAAATATCGCCTTCAGGTCAAGAAATATGGCAGGTGTTGGATGTGGATAAGTACCCATATGTTTCAGAATCTGTCGAAGGGTGAAGATTTGACCAATACACCCTATTCTTGGCCTAAATTCTGACTGATTTTCTCGGTTTCATCCATCCTCGGCATGGTTTAGTTTACGCAGATATTGAACCCAGAACTTAAGATTTTATGCTAATCAATCTTTTCCCTTTATGCTTATCCTGATGAGACTTATCTCCCTTATCCAATGGGATAATCATGATGCCAGTCTGTGGGAACTGTCTGTAAATCCCTTACACAAACTTCGTTGACCCAGGCAAAAGATCTTCGTTACAGTCTTTAAAACCTTTGGCGTCATTTCATGGGTTCGCTCTACTTTTTCATTACAGACAGCTTCTACAAACAATCTACATCTCAATCAGGCATGTGTTGGATGCTGTAAAAATGTAGTGTGGCTGTAGGTCGGTTTAGTTGGTGCTCTGTGTTCATTATAACTTTCCAGTCTTCTGTTGCGAAAGGTGAATGATATCCCCTTCTCTCCGGAAATGGTTTCGTTTGCCATTTGTCTTATGCCGCCCGTTTTGCTAATGATCTTGAATTGTTGTCTCGTCTTAACTACCACCGGTGCCTTTTCTATACCTTTGATTTTTGTCGCCCACCGTTATTTAAAGTTGTTGAGGTTAATTTTGACTACCTCGCGTTTGAGAGTCTTCCTCTCCTCTTCATTTCCGGAGTCCTTCTGGATTAGTCTCCTTGCGTCTATCAATTTAGACGAAGCATCGTGATCCACTGACATTTACTGGCATTAGGTTTTAGATTATGAACAACTTTTTCCACTGTTTTTATAGATGGCGCATTGGATATTATGTCAGGTTTCTTCAGGATCACTATTGGTGTTAATCTCAGACACGCATTTACCTATTCCTCCTCTAAATAGGAACTTTGTGCTCATCAATTTGAGGGTGTAACAGCTTCAGTCTTGGGCGTATATGTGCGTGAACTGTGGCAAGGTCGGTTCTTGTCATGTATCCAGGAAAAGCGACTGTACTCTATTGACTATCCAGATCAGTGGCTCATGTTTGTGTTCTGTTTCGGCCCATTTTTAATTTGATGATGGAGGTCACCACGATAGGCAATTTCTCCTTGTATTCGAGGTTGGAACTAACTGGAAACAGATGATTATCTGAGGAGAACTATGGAAGTCTATCACCATTGTCAGTTCGTCTGCTTAAGACTCTGTGAGTGCCACCAAAATACTTTTCTGATTTCCACGTTTCCCGTACAAAAGAACTGAAGTCATCTGCTAAACGACTATTTCTGACCGCTTTGCTTTAAGCAGCAAACTAGACAGATTTTTATAGAACTTTACCTGATATGAACTTCAGTTGGTTTACTTTTATTGGACAGTAGTTAATAACTGGTGTAATGTGTCTAGTCCTTTGTTTGGTGCAGACTGAATTCTGTCAGCCAAGTTTGCAATGTAGCCATCATGCTAGGTGGCTCGCCATCACGGTACACGTTGAAGTGGTTGGACGTTTGTGGGCATCGCAGTATTTTGTTTTTCTTCTAAATAATCGGTTCAACCGGACAGTACACCTAAGACTATCTCCTGGCAATCTGTCAAGTATGGAATTTTCCCACCCTAACAGTTAATGCTATCCCTTAACTTGTAAGTCCTGGCGAACTAGTCGAAGAATCTCCTGACACGCGTAAACGCGTAAATTTCACAGCTTCACCTTGTTAGTCAGGTGGAGTTTAGTGAATAACAACACTTGAGTCTTGTATGCGTGTTTCAGGAACATAATATGCGTCTATGGTTCGAGATGTTAGAGTTATGGTTAGTCAGTTGTGTTGACCGATTTGTCAAAGGTTCCTAACGTTGAACACTCCTACCTGAAGATGATAGAGTAGCTGTGCTAGGCTATCAGTAGGATTGTTTTCGCCTCTGGTCGTAATTTCATATTTTTCTGGATCACAGAAAGTGATATATAGTGTAGCTCGAATGTACTAAGCTTTTCATCGTTTCAGTTGTGGCTTATGAGCTTAAGCACTTGACTTACATTCAATCGGTCTAGGTGTCGAACTCCTTCGCGCTATTATTCGGAGTAACTGTGTAGTATATCATGAGACCTCACACAGTAAGTGTAGCTTATAGCCTGGAACATGAAAAAAGCCTCTTCCAGGAACTGAGTTCAGCCAATTTTTAAGCTGGCGACTAGTAATTCTCTCCATCAGCATACTATATGTTTTCCATATACTGAATTCAGTGTTCATCTCATAATGGATCATTGAAACAAATAGTTTCGTTTATGCTGTCGTGTTAGCACTTTATCAGAGTACACTGTTTTTTTTCAGTGTACTGGTTAATCTATTCAATAGGACACTCCTCTTATTTTGAAATAGGCAGTTATGAAATATCTTCAAGTCTACAACATGAATATGTGACTCACTGACTTTGTCACTTGCCTTTGAACTTAAGAATATTCAATCCATTGACCATTTCATACGTTACATCTATTTTTGTACATATAATCATCTAATATCAAGTATTGGTTTGCAGGGATTTAATTGGTCAGAGATCTGGTCACTAGTTGACATCAGTTACCAAGTCTGGTAAGAGAATAATTAATCGTCTTTGACATCGGCTAGGGGCTTTCGCTGTATATATCACGAACTGGCAAAAATTGGGATTCATGGGCTATTGGATCGGGTCTCAGTGGCTGAATGGTCTACGAGCTTGCCCTGTAACAGGGAGATCTTGAGTTCGAACGTGTAGGTGCGTACTGTTGAGGATTCACGAACCAGAACAATGCAGCTCTACACTGCTACCAGGTCTCACAATAGTTCAATCAAATGAACTGTAGTCAAGATTTGACAGAATAGTTCTAAAATATTTGGGCGCCGAGTGAGATGTAGACATTTGTAAAAAGTTATATATGTAAAATCTCAGCGATATTGAAATGAGTAATTCCAACGTTTCGTTCGGCAATCTGGTCCGAACTTCTTCAGGGAAATTAATCGAAATTAACATAACAGAGGTTTATATATAAAAGGAACATCTCTTGTTTTTAAAAAAACTTTGTCCAATCATGAGTCATAAAACAAGTATCAACAAGTATAATAAACAAAATTATACGAGTTGTGGTCGAAATTTGACCTCAGACTCACAAATATGTAACAAAAGTAGATCAATATTTGTAAGTCTGAGGTCAAATTTCGATCACAACTCGTATAATTTTGTTTATTATACTTGTTAATACTTGTTTTATGACTCATGATTGGACAAAGTTTTTTTAAAAACAAGAGATGTTCCTTTTATATATAAACCTCTGTTATGTTAATTTCGATTAATTTCCCTGAAGAAGTTCGGACCAGATTGCCGAACGAAACGTTGGAATTACTCATTTCAATATCGCTGAGATTTTACAAATATAATTTTTTACAAATGTCTCACAATGGTTCTTTAAAATAATTTAATATATCAACAGTTTATCAAATGTCATAAGGTTGGTTGTTACTCTTTTCGTGTGTGTTAGATATCTACTTAGTTGTTGTACAGCAGATTGACCGCTTTCTTTACATGCTGACGCAATGTCTCCTACGGTGTCCACAACTGTTTGTCCTCTGTACTAGCTGTTACTGACTGACTGACTGGTTTCAATATAGAAATTTGCACCGATGTTCAGCAGTTCGAGTCGCCACACTCCATATATAGAGATAATAATAATCTTTATTCCAAAAACAGCACTACTTATAATACAGAATGGAATTCTCAGCACTTGTCACAATATTACATCTGATTTACTCAAAATATAAATAAAATGAAAACAAAAGTAACCAGAGGAATTTGTCCACGTTTACGGTATAAAGTCAAAAATATTCGA